GGAGTTAGGGTGTGCGTGGGCGAGCTTCCTCGAATTAGTTCGGTCTATGTCTTCTCAAAACCGGAACAACCGCTCAAACCCACGAGCCACGACATGTGTGGAAAGCGTGTGGGCACGGATTGACGTCCAGCCATAGATACTCATCAAAAGCTTGCAATATCGGTTACAAACATCTTTGCGATAACAAGACGGAGAATATCGCAGGCTAGGTTCGTCTCGACAAGAGAACGCAGCTCGCGTAGAGACATTTCAGCTGGTGATCGGGTGTGCTACACCCCTTACTGAAACTGTGTTCGGCTACTAGTTTCGCACGTGGTCGGAGCCGCGACGAGTCACAGTTGATTTAATGATGCTTAGACGTTCATCACGTTCTCGTTTCTTCTTTCTGTTTTTTACTACGATCGATCGCGCGCATGCCGCACTCGCGCATGTTTGCCGGCGAAGTGTCACCGTCCCCATTTCGCACTGGCGAGGAGAATTTCCGAGCCATTCCTGCGCACCATTGGTGTACCTGTTGCCAGCTGCTGCCGCCGCCGCTGCTGAGTTTCGAGTGAAAAGGCCGAATCAGTCGGGTGGAAGAAGTTCAACGACTTAGAGCATGAAGGCGGCTAGTTTACGCAGCCACCCGCCTTCCACGACGCTCGCGCGCCGAGCGGGGGGGGGGGAGATAGAGACGCGGGCATTGTTCCACTTTCATTCCCGGCGAACGTGCAGCAGGCAGCCAGGCAGACAGGAGTGCCACGCGCTCACTCTGCCCTAACCGAGCTGCCACCCGGCCTTCACACTCCAAACGGCATACTCACCACCTGACACATTTCCCGTCCGCCCAGCAAAACATATAATTGCGCGTAGGCGACCTAAAGGCAACGAAAAGAAAGTCGCTGCGATCTCTGCGCGTAGCGCAGCGCGCCGCTGTTTGTCGAATGCTTAATAGTTGCGGATAGCTACTAAAGGGCGCATATATTTAGTCGGCGGCTTTTTACTTTCGGTAATGCGCACTAGTCCCACTAGGGTCTGCTGCGTCCACAGAATCTTATCGGCTGCCGTTCAGTCGACTGCAAATAAACGACGTTCGGAGACGGTCTACCAGCGGTTATAATGGGCAATTAAAAATGCGCTGCGATACTGGTTGATAATAGTGTATATAATTTCAAAATCAGCTCACTCGCACTGGAACAGGTAAAATTAGACCCTCGCTTATGGCGCACGTGAACGTTCTTTGCTTTATCGTCTCCAAGGTTGCACGCGATTTAAAATATTTATCAAAAACTCGTCACTCTTGGCTCTGTTGGTACGGCCTTGGTTTTTGGGCTGTTTCGTGTGCATACGTGAGCCTACTTCGTGTACAACCACGTTGTCAATTGGCCCGCTTTTAGGTGTCAGCGAAATCGGGGTTTACAAAACAAAGAATATAGGAAGGGTATTTGTGTTAAGCAAAAACCACGTGTTGTATTCTGGGCAACTGCAACAGTAGCGGTGGCATTAAAAAATCCACAAAGTAGCTTCTGTTGCTTTTGGGAATTTTTTTAACTTCGTAAGCAATCGCCTATGACAAAATTTCCACCTGTAATACTGATAAGGCACTCGTGTTCCCATGACGATCTGCATTGTTCCTATATGCTTAGTGTAGGCGGATACGAAAACGCCGAACGCGGGAGTTTATCAATGTAACTCTGAGAAACGAAGAATTTCCATGCATAAAATATGAATGCCAAAGAGACAAGATTTCAGACAGGGTGCGCGATCGGTATACGGAAAGACTTCGTACGGGTATATACGTCCATCTCTCCGTCGACTCCGCATGTTAAGAAAGAAGGCCAACACTGCATTGCGCTCCGCTATGTGTTTGTCAGCATGGCATGCAGGCGAATGGTCCACCGAGGACGCCGCGGGAGGAAGCGGCGGATTGACAGAAGTGTTCATGACTCTCTTCTGCTCGACCAATACGCAATACGCGCGGCACGCCAG